TGAGCCCGAAAGAGCCAAATGCAACGTAAAAAGTAGCCAAATCCGGCCAAAAGAAGCCAAAATCGAAATTTAGAGTAAATCTTCCGAATTCAAGCGTTCAACACCGAAAAACAGTAAAGAAAAAACGAGTATTTTATCACTTTCGTTTTCCCGCTGTTCGGGGCGAACCGCGTAACCCAGGGAGAAGGTACTAATTCCGATCGAATATTTACGTACATCCGGAATCTCGGATAAATGGATAATGTAATCGAACATAGCAGAGTTTATAACTAACTTTTACTGATGGATGGCAGACTATTTTTGAAAAGTTGCTTATTTCAGTATTTATTCAAAAAGAAGCCAAAAAGAGCCAAAAAATAGAAAGAAGCCAAACGAAATTTTTAGTAGCCAAACGAAGTCAAAAGAAGCCAAAATCGAGAAATTTGGCCCTTTTAACACCAAACTGGCAACCCTGGTGGTTAAGATGAGCGAGCACGCGGGGGTACTTGGGAAGGCGCCCCCGCTCATCTTAGCCACTGCTCTATATAAAAACACTGTAGTGTTGCTATTTTTAGTACGTTATTTGCGCCTGGGTACGAGGCTGTACAAAAGTATTGATACCTTCGATACTCGCAAAAAGTATCGGTAATTCAATACCACTTGAGCCTGCAATGTTTTTTGTCAGTATTCCTGACCAATCACTTAATACTTCATGAAGGCAACAGACTGAAGGTAAAAAATGTTGACATGATGCTGTTCTTAAACAAAAACATGTAGCTATAAATTAGCAATATATTTAAGGAAAACATTGAACATGTTGATATTGTTTAGATTTAAAATCATAATTGCAAATATTGTTCGATTATTTGGCAGGTACTCCAGTTAGAGTATTCTTTGACTTGTTAATTTTAACATTAATGTTCGTGTTTCAAAAGTTATTTTAATAAATGGAAAAAATTGAGTATCGTATCGACCAAAATTCATGGTATCGGACTGGTATCGTATCGAAACCAAAAAAGCTGGTATTGCCCATCACTACATTCTGAAAAACATTGGGAGGCGGGAGGCTGCCCCCACCCCCCTTTGCCGCCACTGTTAATAAACTATGTATCTGTCTAACTAGACAAGTAACAGACAGCTTATTAATTAGGCTCGGTTCCAGCCGTTCCCTCTTGGGGGCTCTCATTAATAACATAGATTTAATATACATAATGGGACGTTGCCCACTTTAATATTTTATACCTGCCCCTTGCCTACACTTGGAATAGGCACATCATGTAATTGCAACACTTCAGGACCACCAAAAGCCAAAACTTGTATCGCCTTTGCACACTTCATGATCTTTTTAAAATAGTAGTCTTCGTGTCTCTGTACCCGACTCGTTCCCAGCCGCTCGCGTTGGATGATGGGAATGGGTTAGGTTTCCTCGCATTTCTAGACTTGCTCCAAGCCTCTCTTTGTGGAGACCCACTATATTGTACGTTACATGACTTAGTGGGTCTCCACAAAGAGAGACTTGGAGCAAGTCTACCAACGCCTAACCCGCGAACGGGCATATTCTCCCGTACTAAAATATAACGAGAGACTGTGGAAGAGTCAGTCTCTGTACGAGCGCTCGTCAACCCTTTCCTACAAATCTCTCGCCGCCCGTGCGTTCACTCCCAAATTTCCCCCGCCTGCTCGAAATCAGACTACCGTATTTACTCATTTAATCGCCACAGCGGTCTTTAAAAGATGTGGCGCCTCTCTCAAACCACACCTACAGCAGTTTCACGAGATTCACGACCCCCCCCCCCCCGGAACACAAAAGTATGTCAAAAACAAACTTTTGTGTTGGGGGGTCGCGAATCTCGTGAAACTGCTGTAATGCTCGAACCATAGATATCTTATATGGCTCGAACTCAAAACAAGTGGCATTTGTAAGCTGAAATGCGGACGAGGAGTTGAACATCGTACCCAGGGCATTTTCCGCTTGGCTCTCTGCTGGATTTTTTACAATCTTGAGTTGAAAACTTGGCTTCTCCCTGTTTTTCGCAATATTATCGCGTTATACGTCAAACGGCAGGCAAAGAAAAATTTTACGGTATCAGGCAATGGAGTAAATTAACTTGCTGTTTTAAAACTGAAATACATATAATTATTCTTTCGACACAAGAAAAAAAATATCGTTTGCAGTTCCCGGAAACGTGAAGCTTAAACTCCCTATTACGATTTTTGCCCTGGGGTTGTGTCGGTGGCTGGTAAGGAAAAAAAGGCAACCGGGTATTAACTGGATACAATGGTAATACTTCACGATTTTCCCCTAATATAGTCAATTGTTTTATACGTCTCGTCTCTTTATACGATAAGCATAAATATAGGGCAATCTACAGCAGAGTAGATTTTAACTTCGCCTGTCCACAGAGTCAAAGCAACTTCAAACACAGTAAAATTTCGTTAATAGTGCAGAATAAAATACTTATAATCCCCCGGTTTCAATTGTTTCAACTTTTAATTTCTTTCCTCAGGTTGGATATGAATAGAGTTTTATTCCGAAGTTCACGGGCCCTCCCAGGCAAGTCTCGTTTAATTTTCAAAATAATCGTGCCCCAATTTCACCATCGATACCAACCAGAACCAGTACTACGAGCAAAAGCGAAATAAACAATTAAAACGACGCGAGGAAAGCAAAGAAAATAAATTTATTATACATAAGAACCTTTAAAAAATACTTAGATAAGTTCTACAGTATATAATCTAGTGCTTATAGATGCAAGCTAAAAGTCTGATTAACACCACAATATTCACATTTTTAGGACTAAAAGCACCTTTTTTGGTGACATTTCCAAAACGTGCAATTTGGATGCCGATTTACAGTTGCATGGGAATCTTAACCTGATAAATTACCCTTAATCGAATTGTACGTTCCATTCTAACGCAAAACAACGCGATATGCAAATATGAGTGATATAGTAAATGACGACGGACATTAGTAACATCTACACAAGACGACATCGGCTTGGTTGAAATCTACAGAAGAACTACGGGAAGGGTTCAAAGTTGGAAGCACAAAAATACCCAAAGGCAAAGCCCTTAAAGCTATCTTTTGATATACGGAATTTAATTCATTCGTGGCTTCCAAAGGCAAAAGTTTCTATACGAGATTGATTTTGGAGGTTTAAGTGAATGAAGCTGTTCATGATATAGGACTATACATTAATAATTAATTCAGGTTTCAGCTTTCTTTGGTGGAGGTCTAAAAAAATAAGGAGATAAAGAAGTAATTGGGTTGTGCAATGAAATGAGCAATGAAAATGTTTACTTGCACCAAGCCTAAAAAATCTAACGCTTGGTACGAAATAAATACCCTCACAAATAATGCGTAACATTTTTTAAAAACATTTCTAGGGCAATTTTCTCGTTTGGATCAAATAGATCATAAATTCTATACAACGAGCGATTTTGAATAAACCAATGCAATCACTTGCTTTCTCATTGACGCTTATTGTGCATCGAATGCCACTGCTACTTGCATTGCATATTACTGAGTGTATTACATTAACTTCACACAGTATTCACAATACTTGCATACTAACAGGAAAAAAGCCAAAATTATTATAGGTTTCAATTTTACAGATGCCATACTAGGCTCGATCCAGCCGGTGGGTACTCCCCTAATGCCACACATGCACCTTATTATATTCCATTCGAACTTAAAAATCTATTTCAACAAAAATTTCTATTTATCTAATTTGACTCGTATATGAAAAGGATGCAGCGATTTACCTGTATACGCCAACAACAACAGCATGATCTCTTTCATAAGGTTCCAAGGTGAGTTGTTCTTGGGGTTTCATTTTCTCTCCTTGCATTTTCTTTACCTCTCCAGCAAAAACTGCAGCTGGCTCAGCCGTAGAATCAATACAGTTTGCCTAAATCGTAACAAAAAGAGCAGTGCCAGTGAGAACTAGGGCAGTCGCTATGCAGCCATTAGATATATTTTGGGAGAGTTCCTTACATGGAGTGTGCATATTCTTATAGCCCACAACTGGCACAAGTACAACTGTAGCTAACATGAAGTTTCCTAAGGGCTAAGGTAAATTGAGAAATTTAAACGTCGGAAGAGTCATACAGTAACTAACATCGATGTTTCATCTTGGACTTTTATTGTGACATCACGTCATGTTCCAGTGAACATTGCGTCATTATTGCCAACTTGTCGCCGATTGGCTATAACATAACACACGAAAGCATTTCTTACAGACACGCCAGTATTACTGTATATCTGGTGACGCAGATACAAAAATGCACTGACAAAGATTAGGCCTTATGCATAGGACATTTTCCAACCAAATCCACAAAAATTGTCATTAAATACATTACACTCGCCCTGTCCTTCCCAGTCATAACCTACTGTACCTATACATCACGTTAGAGTAATACTGTACATCATTGTAGGTGGTCTTCAAATTGTCTAATACACAAACCTTTATGGATATCACAAAATGTCCTCCGTTTTTCAAAAAGTTGTGTGCATTAATCGCCACAATTCTTGCTTGATCAGGCTGAGCAACGTCAGCAAAAATGGTATCGACCATACCTTGCAAAAAAAGTAAATGATATCATCACATGCAACTATGGTGTTGTAGGATTGTAGCCACGTAAAACTAAGGTAATTTATGTACACATAACAGACTGTAGGCGCAACCTTTTGTGCACAGCAAAATATACAGTATACGTATCGTATGTACTATTCCGATGCTTACCCATTAACATTCTGTATTTATGAGGGTGGCGAGCATCCTCTATAATGGGAATTACGTTTGTTCTTTTCTTCGCGACATTGATCAAATCTCGTCCAGATCTGTGCGAGAATTCCACGGCGTACACAAGACCATCCTTGAGAAAGATAAATTTTGAAAATTGCGTTCTTACATGTATACAGTACTTACCGAATGCAATAGCATTCCAAAGGTTAAGAATCCAAAGGTTAAGATTTAAGAACATGTTTTCAGAACGTTTCATAGCGCGTGTTTATTAGTAATTAGTAGGGAGTTTACGATCTACGACGCGGCCGCCTCGACGACGCGCTTTCAAAACAAAGAAATTTGATGTTTCCACAAACAATAGTATTATGTGTTTTATCGCCATGCAAACCCACAAAGAACTTACAAAGAAATTTGTCATGCAAGACAAAAACTGTCAATAATTTGTGGTCCCATGAGTATTGTCAACCGCGTTGTCATTCTCAACACAACGTTAAAAAAGCATTATTAGACAGATTTAGATCGAGGACATGGACGTCAAAGACGACGTGAAAATGACGTGTTGTGCCTATGTACATAGAGATTATAAATAACACTAGAGGAGGCATCGAGTTTAAAAATTGGGAACGCAGCTAATGGGGGGCAAATTCAAGTCCCGGATATAAAATCGTGCTCTCATTGGTTAATTTGAAACTCGTCACCAATGGGAACACGAATACACATCCGGGACTTGAATTTGCCCCCCAATAGTCGCGTTCCCTTTTTTTTACTGAATTAAGATTACAATGCCTCCTCTAGTGTTATTTATAATCTCTATGCCTATGTATGGATATGCCACGCCATATTGACGCCATTTTCACGTCGTCTTTGACGTTCGCGTCCTCGATCTAAATCTGTCTTTTTGATCTAAATTACGTCTTTCAGGCAACGCGAAAGCTTAATGCGACACAAGAGGTGCTACTAAAAGTCGAAATTACAGCAAACATTGCATCGCTTTAGCCGAACGTAGCATTTTGTAAGGCTATTTGAAAGAGTCGAATATTTATTACAGTAATCGAATTGCTTAGCGCTCATTATTGAGCTAAAATTTAGACCGCGTCGTTGAGCCGGCCGCGTCGCAGATCGTAAACTCCCTAATATCTTAGTATTAGTAATTAGTATCTCTTAATAATTGGAGACACGGAATGTGAGAGTGAGACATGCCAGACAGAATGTTACTTTATTACCACTTGGCATCTCTTTAAATCAAAATACGTATTCTCTCATTGGAGACACAGTAAAGCCTGTGAAAGGGCTACAAAAATTGCATGTATCGCAATGAAGAACTACAGGTACTCTAATTTAGCGAATGTCTCTTAATAGCCTTATCAGGGGTGTAGTTTAAAACAACACTAATGTAACGATGCTGCTTAACAAACGAGTGCAAAGTTCAGGCGACGTCATATCACAGATTAGGGACCACACAGATTAGGGAAGTCCGACATCTTGTCGGCGCCCCTAGGTTGAAACGGCGTAAAGGCCGAGACACACCAGACGCGATTCGACAACACAGCACGATTTTTCAGTTTTTGAAAGTTAATAAAACTACTAATGAAAGGAAATAAGATATTTAGACGAAATAATTCAAAATGTTACAGCGCTTCTAAATATTTGAAAAACCTTTAAAACAATTATGGCGTGGTAGCAATTACGTCTTTTTGGCTGAATCAGACTTCTGTGTGGTCTGTATTCTGTGGTCATACTTTTCCACAAACGAAATGAAATAATTACAAATTATAGCCTCAAAAGAATTGGACAGCAACAGTAGTTAGTCTGACAAGCCCAAACCATCCTCCATACAAAATATAGGAATATACTACATACGGGTCCAACAATATCTGAAACATGTGAAACAGTTGTTCCTGAAGCTGCTCCAAGATATAGAACTTTGCTGCCAGGTTTCATATGAATCTTATCAATGCCACCCAAGATAGCAGCGGCCAGTTTGGAACGGAATGGGTTCCATACTCTGTACTCAACTTTATTTCCATCTTCAACCTGTAAAACAAGAAACTATTTTAGCTTACTTGACCGTGGTCCAACAATGACTTGCAGCAACCATTGGCTTTAACAATTCTTTGATTATTGGTTCAAACATTTACATAATTATTGACACCAACAATGAATGAGAAATCCCCAAAGTCAGGGGAAATTTGAGGGAGAATGCACTTGACCTCTTCCCACCCCCGGTTTACCAGGCAAAACAATATTTGGACAGCAGAAAGCTTTGGATTGATAAGGATACAACAACCTGAAAAATACAAGGAGAACTTCAATGTTTTGAGCAAAGGCCCTTCATCGAGATGTTACTATCTTCTCCTTGTATTTTTCTGGTAGTTGTATACATACAGTAACAATCCGAAACTTTCTTATTATTGACACTACCTACTGTACACTGGCACAGACCATCCAAGATTATATACTGTAGTTGTATTGCCTGTGAGAACTTCCAGGGACCTTAGAACCCTTGTCTGGAAATTCTTGGCAACAACACTTCTATATACTTGTCAGCACAATAATTATTGTCTTTAACAACATGTTTAACACCACTATAAGAGGGTCCCCAGTAGGGTGGCTATGCCCACTCTGGTGCCACCCCTGGTATCGAGGTAGCCTAGAGCATTTTAATAGTAAGACCAGGAGTAAAAATAATTAATTAATTACAGATTTACAGTTCTAACATACATCAACAGAAATCTTCTTTTCCCCATATACAGTTTCACCAGGAACAATATTCTTAGTGACTAATGCATCTTCTTTACCTCGAGCAATAAATACACCTGGAACAGAAATAACAACTCATGAAAACACTCAGAGAATTTAATAGGCTGTTCTGTCTACACTGTCTGCTTTCAACACAAGTTCTCTCAACACTCTCAGTTTCTATTGCCAAATAGTCAAAACGGGTCTTCCTGTATTTCCTAAATACTTGTTTATAAATGACAAAACAAACCTTCATGTCTATGTGGTTCAACAGAAACACGAGCTCCGCCCCTAAAACCACCTGTTGATTAAAACATATATAATAGTATATTATCTATTTTGATTTATGCAAACAAAGTAGAGCACCTTATTATTAAGGAGAAGGTGAAGTAAAGCAATACAAAATTACATTATTATAAGTTTTGCAAATGGCAAGCCTTGGCATTATTCACAGTTTTGCAAATGGCAGGCCTTGGGGTGAGCGAGAAAACAGGTCGGCAAAACTTTCAGGTTTATCGGTTATTGGTTGATGACATCAACACTGTTTTTGATTTTCTCTGCTGCTTGCCCAATATTCTTGTCATGAGTATTTTCTTTTGGGCACACGTTTTGCTATTTTATTTTGAATGCAATCAGAATCATACAAAAGAAATGTAAAGTTTTATACAAGAATTTTTTGAATAGTTTTAAAATATCCTTTTTTTATAAAACATCTCTACTGTGCTAGTTATTTGACATACATGTGACCAATGGGAGTGCTAGTGGTTGCAGAGGAAACAACAGAAAGGGATGCAACTACCTATGAAAAATATAAGGAGAATTTCGATGTTTCAAGCGAAGCCCCTTCATCTGGAGTTCAAATATATTGTAGCCTACCTCTACAGTTCAAATATATTGTACCCTACCTCTTCCACCCCCACGACCAAAACCTCTCCCTCTGGGCCCGCCTCTACCTCCGCCTCTCCCTCCTCGACCACCACGTCCTGGACTTCTAAATCCACCTGTAAAATTTGAAAGCAAAGACGTTTTCAACAATATCCTAACAGTCTAACTTAGCTCAAGACAGGCATTTGAAAAAACGTTTGACAAAGGAGCGATCGAGTTAATGTCTAGATATTATCTGACAAAAGGAATATTATTTTCATTTTTAATCCCTAAATGGTAACTTTATAACCGTATACCAGACTTGCTGTGAGACAACCAGTAGTGTGTTTTTGTCTGCAACTAAAGAGGAACAATCTCATACAAATAAACATTTTCAATTGTCTATTCTCATGTGAAACCAATGTTTGTCAAAGCATAATTTTAGGTTTTAAGCCGGTTTTCCATTGGACTGAATTTTGAGCGAGGAGCGGAAATTTGTCTTTGTCTTTTCTAATTAGTTCCACCCAAGAAATCACAAGATAAGGAAATTTCTGCTCCTCGCGAAAAAAACTGCCTATTAGAAAACCGGGTTAAATCTGATCAGGTGCATAGTATAGGTGCTGAAGGATAGTATTGAAACCAGTAAAGTGGTAAATTTGTTCCTCAAGAATTGCACATGTGGGATTGATCGTTACCACATGGTAACGTCACGACCACTTTTGAACCTCAATGGAGCTCAAACCTCAACAGGCATTAATTGGAGTTAACAATATACCTAGTGTATCTTACAATTACATCACTGCAGCGATGTTTTGCTAATTTTATAAGTGGGGGGACGGTCTTGAAAATCAAATGGGTGTGGTCACTCGATTGGGCGTGGCCTCATGCATAGTCATAGTGAACAAATACATAAATCCACTTCAAAAACTAAGCTATTGCGTAGTACAATATGTACCTAAAAAACACCTAGCTTGCGCGTTGTAGATGTCAAAAAGCAAATAAAATTAAACGACTTTTGAATTTCGATGATGCAATCAGCGCTATGCATGTGAGTAACTCGGCAGACAGGTACTTTGCAAGTTGAATATGACGTTTTCGCGAGCAACTAAATAAGCTTAGATAATAGATATCCTTTTATCCATTCAATCATGTTAATGTCATAGATATCTCATATACACTAGATAGCGCATCTCAGAATACAAAACTGAAGCCAAAAATCTCAGCGGTTTCCCCCATGAAAATAGGCGGCGGCCATATTGGTCGTTCCCACTCATCAATGAAATTCTATAGAAAATACTATATTTTTCTGCATTTGTGGATTAAAAATACCTTTTTGAGATATGTTCGCGTTGAAATCGCATCTTTTTTGGAAAAGGTTACAAGAAAAACATTAATTGGCGATGTTGTTGTCTTTCAATCGCATTTTAAAGCTAAAAATTTTGAATTACTGCATTCTTTATCATTGTCAAGTGTAAAGTGCATATTTAAACTGTGGATGATTCTCTGGTGAAATATCGTATAATATACGTCTTCTTACAGTTTCTGGCACCACTTTATGGAAATAGAAAATTGGTAAGTAACGTTTAGATTATCAGCGAAGGCAGTTTATACTGTAAAATGTTTAAGACCGAGTCTTCACTTTGAACTTTCAGCTTCGGCAATTTTCACTGTAAATCTTTAGTAAAATGTTTAATTATTATAACTAAGACAGAGTCTGCACTTGGTCATTTTTCACTGTAAATCTTTAGTAAAATGTTTAAGACAGAGTCTGCACTTTCAGCTTGGGCATTGTTCACTGTAAATCTTTAATAAAATGTTGGAGACAGAGTCTGCACTATCAGCTTGGGCATTGTTGACTGTAAATTTTTAGTAAAATGTTTGTGACAGAGTCTGCACTTGGGCATTGTTCACTGTAAATATTTAATAAAATGTTTGAGACACAGTCTGCACTTTCATCTTGGGTGGTTTCACTCTAAATTTTTAGTAATAACTAACTTTCTCTGATACATTCCATGTATAAATCACTGGTGGTTAAAAAGTACAAGTTTGTTTATTTTTTTTCCAATTTTTTATCCAGATGAATTCTCAGTGGTCTTCTTTCCAAGATGATAAAATTTAACTTTGCAGTAACTCTTGATGTTCTTGATCAACTGAACAACATGATTTTCACCAACTGGTGAGTCAAAAAGATGGTGATCTAGCTCAGTAAAAAGGCTGGATATGGACAATGAAGAAGCCAGAACTTTATCCTTAGGAAATCTATAAAGGATGTTTATCAGACAAAGAACTAAAGAAGCTGGAACTTTATCCTTAGGAAATCTGTAAAGGATGTTTATCATGTAATGCAAGTCTAGTTTCAATCTATAAAATAGTATACATGTAAAAATAAATTGCTTACTGATGAAATGTCCTGGGAAGTTTTCTTTTGAGTTTTCATTCTTCATTACTTGACCCTTCACTATCACTTCTTATACTTTATGAAAACTTAGGACAGACTTTTTTACATGTGGAACATTCAAAAGCACAACACTGAGGACCTCTAACTTTTCCCATTGCTGTGAAATTTGCTGAGTTTAACTCAACTTAATTACAATTGGTGCCAAAATGGTAAAAACCCTTTGCCACAAGTCTCCAAAAATGTTTTTTAAATTGAACATGTTTTTTTAATTATATTTACAGTAACCACTAAACTCAAAAGGCTAAAATTGAGAGTTTATCATGTTTTTAATTCCTGAGAGTACTTGCAAATTTTGTTTATTTTTTAAGAAAAGTTTAATATTGTGCATTTTATATGAGTCAAAGAATTGGAAAGCACTATTACACAAAGTCAAAAGTAGTATTTTATTATAACAATAGAATTATTCATACAATAATGAATGTAACTATATTTAAGATTATAAAAGTTACTGTGCATCAAGCAGTTTATTTCACTGATCTTATACTATAATGCAAGAAATAATGTGTGTCATTACAAAACAGGTTTTCCCATATTAGCCTAAAGCAGTTCTAAAATACAAATTACTGTATTAAAACAGTGACCTATTACAGTAATTTGGCAGTTTGATTGCTTGAATTAAAAGCAAAAGGTCTTGTACTCACGGGACTCAATAGAAAGAAATATTTCTTAACATCAATTAAAGATAGTTTGAAGCATATTCATACCATTGGATTATCAACTATATTTACATAAAACAATAGCAATTACGTTATTATATTGCCTGCGAATATAAAGTTGCAATTGTTCTCTAGCTTCTAATAGATTTTAATCATGATGTGATTCCATGGAACTATAAAATAATACATGATATGTTGTATGTAAATAAATATACACATACTAAGAAGTAAGAATCATTTTTGTTTTGGTTCATTCCATGTTTTATATTGACTACTTTTGCCATAATTGATAAACTGTGACTAAAATGTTTTTCAATGTTGCTGTCTTTCACAAACACATTTACAATTTTGCCATGAAGCAATGGCGATACTAGCTCAAAATGTCCATGGCCAGAAATTCAGGACATGCGCCCGCAATATATCTCAGCGGTTTTTCTTATGAAAAGTTATTCATACCTAACAAACGTATGTTTTAACTAAAAAAATACATTTTGCTTCGTTTTTTGTTTAACTAAAGCAGAAAAAATAGATATATTAGGTATTGTCGGCTTTTTACATACCTTTCATTTATTATGATAGGATATAAAGTGATGCGCATGGTAAACGACTCAAATATTTTGTGTATACATCGCTATCCCTCAGTGTATCCCACACTGGAAGAAAGCCTGGTTCCTAAGCTTCTTGTTGATATCAAACATGGACGACAATTCATGAAACATCGCTCTTCTTGCAATGTTTTACGGCCTATGGACAGGATATTCATTGGTAAAATATCAACATTTTGTCCCGTAAATTGGAACAAGTTAAAAAATTCGTATCACTATGAAATTATGCAGACATGTAGGGGACAACATATATTTTACGACGCGAAGTCTGCAAATTTCATGAAGGGTTTGAGGGATATATGCGGCCCGAGCAAAATGTACGTTTTCGACGATTTTCTCAAGTTTTACTATACTTTATTATACGCCGATATACTATGAAGTGAACTTGAATAATGGAACAACTTATAGGTAAGATTTCGATGCGAAACTTTTCTGTTTTACGGTCCAGATATAGTTTATATTATTGCGAAGTCTGCAAATGACATAGCTACTATCAAACAAGTTTAAATTAAAAAAAACCGCGCCACTCCTAATGATTTATATATAACAAATCCGCCATTTTGTTTGTCAAAGTTCGCACATGCTCAGAATCCATGTCCGCAATTTCTGGCCATGTTATTTGGAATTGGTGGAACTATACTTATATATGAATATGCATCAAAATCTTAATTCCACACACAACATGATATATTTAACAGCAAAATATTGAAAAATCGCAATGGTTTGTCCATAGTTGTCATATGGCCGCCCTTCATACGGGTCGACAAATATTGATATTTTCAGAAAAAATAATTAAATTTTGCCTACCCGTTATTCACAATATGAAGCTCCAATAAACTGGCATCGTTGACAACAAGTTCCACACTTAGAAACCCAAAATTGACTGCATAAAAGAGGATTTATGGTCAACTTTGTCCATTTCCGCAATACAAAAT